CCTCTGCTCACCACATGCTTAGCACTCTTCATGATAACTGCTTCTTTTCTTTTTTTGTTACTGGGGATTGAACCCAGGAATGCTCTACTGATCTATATAACAAGTCTTTTTTGAGACACAGTCTTGTTGAATTGCCAAGGCTGGCCTCAAATTTGTGATCCTTCTGCCTCAGTCTCCCGAATAGCTGAGATTACAGGCTACAGGCGTGCACCACCGTACCCAGCCTTCATGATAACCTTCAATAAATTCAAACTTCATGCAAAGATTATATGGGAATGATAGAGTGTTAGATGTATGACAGTTTGTACACTTCAAAAATGAATGTGATAAACATGTCACTGTGACTTGAGGTGGAATGGGGAGGGAGACGAGAAGGATCTGTGTGGGTTTATTACAGCTCCCTATAAAAGGTCTGGAGAAGATGTATGCATTCCTCTATAAATTGAGGGTCTTTCAGGTGGGAGGCAGTCATGGCTGTGGCACATGGGAAAGGCTCAATAAATATTAGTTTAGTGGTTAAGAGTGTGTCTCTGGAGACAGATTGTCTGGGCTCTAATCCTGGTTCTATCACTTGCTAACTACCTTTAACTAGCTGAGCTTGTGTACCTCCAACCAAAGCAAAGGAGAAAAAAGGAGGGGGATCATACCTCATAGGGTTGGTTTTTGTATAATTTATCTAAGTATGTACTATTATATTTTCTATTTCTAAGGTAGTTGAAAAATATTAGCTTCAACTCTATTAAAATTGTCAGTGATAAAGACATTTATGATATGATGCCTGCACCTGCCTTGCTTGTTTTGAAATGGTACATCATACTTCACATGCTGCTAAGAAAAACAATTTAAAATCATCTCAGAATACATTGGAATAAATAGTTGTAAACACATGAAAAATCTATAAGGCAAATTAATTTATTTTTATTTTTTATTTTTTTTAGCGTTGGGGATTAAACCCCAGGGGTGGTTTACCATTGAGCTAAATCCCCAGCCCTTTTTATTTTTTTGAGACAGAATCTTGCTAAATTACTGAGATTGGCCTCAGGCTTGTGATCCCCAGCCTTGCGAGTTGCTGGGATTACAGGTGTGTGCTATAGCGAGTGGCTCAAATTTTTTAAATTGAGAAATGTCATGTTTAAGAAAATCCCAATTTCTGGCTGGGCATTGTGGCAAACAAAAATAACTAGGGACGTAACTCAGTGGTAGAGCACCCCTGGGTTAAATCCCTACTACCAAGGACAACAACAAAACATATTTTTTGGTTTAAAACTCTGAGTTAAACAACACATTTGAGGGCTATTTTTCAGATCTTTGCCATATATACTTACAACTAAAACATATTCTATTCTGGTACACTGTGCTGTTATTCAAAGCAAACGTTTTTCGTTTTTCAAGCACTGTGTCAAAGAAGGGATAAAAGTTGAGGAAGAAAAAATATGATAGTCTTAAAAAAACTGTCAGGTCTGGGGAAATATGCAACAATGTCACAAAACTGAGTGAAAAATTCCATAATAAAGTGTGGAAACTAAGACTTAAGCTCCTGGTAAAGGATCAGGTCTATGTTAGAACAAACAAAGAATAAACAAAAAGCCCCATTATTTCAATTCTTGGGAAATGGTGGACACCCAAGTAGATGCCTCTTTTGTTTAACAAAATGCCTTAATGGGTTTTGGGAGAAGGAGCTATGCATAGACAGGGCCACAGCCAGGCTAGATCCTTGGAGGCTTGGGGTCTGTGCAACTGGCACCCCCTAGAGCAACATTCATATTGAATTCTTTATGAATGGTACCCCCTGGAATTGTGCAACCTGGTGATTGGTGATTGTGTCAATAAAGGTGGCCTGGAGTCTGTCCTTAGGTGAGGATTGAGAACTAAATCCTTCTACATAATAAAATAACAGGAATTTTAAGTCTTCCCTAGAGGATGAAGGCCAGGGTGAAAGGTCCCGTAATGGAGGAAAAAAAAAAAAAAGGGTTTGGAGAAAAGGTGTCTTTAGAATTAGGATGGGCCAACAATTTAACAACAACCTGGAGCCTATGAACTGGGTGAGAAATTTCTGGTAATATTATTACTTTATTTATCCAGGTATGTATTTATTAGTTGACGGGGATGGAACTCAGGACATTGCATATGCTAAGCATACCTCCTACCACTGAGCTACATCCCATCCCCTCAGAATTTTTAAATGAGATGCATAAAATCTTTATTTTTAAAGATTTAACCTCTAGGAGACACTGGCAGTTAAAAGACATATAACATTTTGGGGGGTCAGACTTTTGTGTGATTCAGGAGGTACCAGCAAAGACTTCTATGCTCAGGCTCATAGAGCAACACTTGCCTAAACATACAACATCACAATAACTTGCTTTTTTTCTTCAAAAAGCTGAAAGTGCTTATACTTTTATTTTCTCCCCTGACATTGCAGTGTGGGAGGGGCAGATTTATGATAACATTATTTATAGAAGGAGAAATTGAAAATAGAGATTAAATCACTTACTCAAGGTTGCATAGCTGGGGTGGTAGAGCCCACACTGGAATTTGGTTCTCCAAGCTCCAGCCAAAGTGGAAAAAATGTGAGTTTTGCAATTAAAGGGATCTTTGAACGATCCTGTTTCTGCTTCTTAAAAGAATGTGGTCTTTAGTCCATTACTTCACCTAAGTCTTGGTTATTCTTATCTGTAAAATAAGACCATAAAACCTCATAGCAGTATAGTGAAGATTAATTTAGTAAATGCATGTAAAGCTTTGGCATAGAGCAGTTTTAAAGATTTGTTACATTTCCAACTTAGTATTATCTGGTTAAATTTCAATACAAATTTAAAGTAATAAAAAATAATCTTCCATTAAATCTGATTGTTTTTCTAGCCTTATCTTCCACAGAGAGCAAAGCATTAAAAAAAAAAAAAAAAAACCACCACACCAATATGTCATTTAATTATTGGGAAGCATTTTGCTTCAGTAGAGTTATTCCTGTAAGTAGAAAAACAAAAAGGAATACATGGAAGATGAGCTATTTGAGTGCAGTGGTTCTCAAACCTGGGGGACCTGTTAAAACAGATTGCTGGGTTCCACCCCAGAGTTTCTGGCTCACAAGGTCTGGGGTGGGGCCCAGTAATTTGCATCTGTAATAAGCTCCCAGGTGATGCTGAGCTGCTAGCCCAGGGACTACACCTTGAGAAGCCTTAGATGCTTCTGGGAAATGTTGGGGATGGGGTCCAGCAATTTGTTTAACAAGTCCTTCAGGGTGATTCTGTATTACTCTCAAGTTTGAGAACTGCTGGCATAGTGCTGTAAAGTGTCTGAGAAAACAGACTCCTAAACAAATAAATTAATTAAAAACAAAACAAAACAAAAACTAGACTCCCTTTCAAATCCTGACTGTAGGATTTATCAATTAGGTGACCAGTTTAAATGACCAAAGGCTAGCTCCTCTGCATCTTCCACAGAACCTAGCAATGTCTGTGTCAGAATTTCTCTTCCTAGCCCTTTAGGCCTTGGTAGAAAGAGAAGGTCTTAGTAAGTTTTGCCAAGGGCAGGCTGTTTTTCACTTCATACTCAAGAGGCATGAAAGGCTGCTTAATTTAGGTAATATGGAAGTATTTAAAAATACTTCTGCAATCACACACACACACACCAAAAAAAAAAAAATAAATAAATAAATAAAAAACAACCAACCAACCAACCAACCAAACAACAACAACACAGCACTTTAAATAAATAAATCAGTAGTGGTGGCATTGTTTGCATCTTAACTTTTTTCTTTTTTTATGGTACTGGGGATTTAACCCAGGGCCTCAATGCATACTAGACAAGAGCTCTGTCGCCTAGCCACAAATCCAGCCTTTTATGTTTATAATAAGGGGTTCTCAAATATTTCTATTTCCCTTGCCTTTCTTAGTTGGAAGTTTTAAGAATCTTTTTCTTAGTATGTTTTGAGATATGCATGTGAAGAAGTTTTTTTATTAACTTCCTCCTGAATCTGGCCTAGGATACAGCTTCTGACCCTGATATTTAGTGTCTTTTGGATTTTGTGGCTGAGGAATGCTCCCCCCCCCCCCCCCCCCCCCCCACCCCGCGCCCGCCCGCCCGCCCCTCTCTTTCCCTTGTCTGACATCTGACTCTGTGAGTCCTCCTAAGTATCCATATATAGGCCTTTCTTATTGCTGGTGAGGTATAAGAATCGTTAGCTTGTATTTGGTGCTAGATACTTCGAAATATCATTTTGAATTTCTACAACAATCCAGAGACGATCCCACTTACACACCAAACTGAGGCTGAAGGATTCATCCTCCAGGATAGAAAAGTGAAATAATAGGATCCAGGCAATAAGATTCTAGACAGTCTGGCCCACACTGCTTTTGTTGAAGTTGCAAGTGATGATGTAATATAGGAATATTATTTAGTTCCTCTCCTTAAAGAATTTAAAGATCTTGTTAGGTGTATATGAGATTATACACACAGCACTGGTTAAAGTAAAATCAAGAGCCAAGTATAGAATTTGGTATCTTTGACGGGTTTCCTCTGCTCAAGATGTAGAGAATTAGCACCAATCTCAAGGGGTTTGCACGTGATTAAAAGAGTTCACGTACCCGAAGCGCTTAATACAGTGCCTACCACGTAGTAAGCATTCAGTTAATGTTAATTTTTAAGGGAGACGATTGGAATGGAGATTACTCTGGGGACAGTCGGGAAGCTGGATGAGTGCACTGAGCTCTGGCAACTAAATTCTTCGAGCCTCGGTTTCCTTGTCTGTAAAACCAAGTGGCTGGAGCGGGAACAGCCCTAACAACAGTTGCCGAGTGCAAAGCTGTAGCCTGGGGAACCGACCGACTGGTGGGGCCGAAAGGGTTAGCAAGGAGCCCGGGGGTAGGATTTGCGGGAGCCGGGCGGGAGAGGCCCCGCCCGGGAGGCTCGGGCAGCTCCAGCCCGCGAGCAGTTCCGGTGCCAAAACCCTTCCCTCTCCCGCTCCTCCGGAAGTGCTTTTCTAAGGTTCGGGCCGGAGAGAGGCCTGGTAGGCACAGCCGCAGAGGCTCCTTCGGCTCCGTGGACTCGGAGCAGGGGCTCCAACCCGGGTCAGAGTTTAGAGGTCCACGGCCACCCACCCGCGCCCCGTGACCTCCCAGCGCCCTGGCGGACGGTGAGTGGACGGGGAAACGGACTGGGCCGGCCTCAGGCCTGGGTTGGGGCTGGGGCTCTCGGGCCCCGGCCGTCCGCTCCGGGCTCCGGGCAGCAGGCAGCGGACTCAGCTGTCGGAGTCTGGGGAAGGGGGTTGTTGACCGCCGCGGTCTTCGCCTAGCCGGCGGGGCGAGAAGAAACGGGCTGCGGGGCTGTGGGGTGGGCGGGGCGGGGCCGGGGAGGGGGTTCCCGGAGCTGTTGTTGCTGTTGGGACTCGGAGGTGGGGACGGGCTGGGCCTCGGTCCGCGCGCCCCCCTCGTTTCTGCTCCCCCAAGTCTTCTCGCCGCCTCCCCGCTTTGATTTTTCTGTGTTGGACCTGGCTTTAGGACTCTTGGACACCCGATTCAAATCCGGGCTCCAGTGCCCGACTTTTCGTCTCCTCTGGGTCTGCCCACCCCCGGGCTCAATTAGCAAGTATCCCGGGGGTGTCGTCTCTTCAGCTCCAGGGTGGGGCGCTGCCTGTGTAGATGCCCGGGATCTTTTGCGAGGCTTGTCCTCCGAGCCCGCTTCAGGGTAGCGTTGGGTCGGTTTGGGTAGCGCTCGGAACTGGGTCTAGAGACGTAGGTCACTGAGGCATCGGCGTGCCTCCGATGCTCTTCACTCACTTGGAAGCTTGCTGAAGCTGTTGCTGGAGTCAAGTTAAAAAAAAAAAAAAAAAGCTTATGGAAAATCGGTAGTGCACATAAATTCCCCTATTTTCTTGCTGACGTAAAAAAAAAAATGCTATTCCCAGATCTGCACTCCTAACTTCTGTGGCTTTCCGAAGTCCCAGTTGTATGATGAGTGCAGTCACAGGTTATTGCACGAATTGATTGTAGAGGGTGGGAGAATTACTATATCCCCTTTCTCCCAAAGTTTGTTTACTTTCATATTTGGGACTGTCATTTTCCTTAACTTTTAAAGAAAAGTGGTTCTCGGTTACTCTTGAAAGGTTCCTTAGAGTTGCCGCTACAGTGCAGAGAGGTTCTCGCAGGCGGGCAGAGGTGTTTTGTAAAATTTTAAACTTATAACATGAAGTATTCACTTCCGTTGAATTGATAATTTGCTAGAGGAGAAAGTGATATATGTAGTTATTTTAGTGAACCGCTTTTAGGCAATAAACTACTGAGGAAGATTTGTAGGAAAAGGGGATTTTTTTTCACATTGAATGGTGATTTTTTAAAAAAATTTTTGATCATAAGAAATACATTTACTTTATTTTTTAACAGGTAATCTTTGTTTTTGCAATGTAAAGTATACACAGATCATCTTCATGAAACCAGCGACATATCTGCACTTCTCATTTTACGCTTATATTAGGAATTACTCTGTAGTTTTTTGAGTATGTCATTCTCCCTTCCCACCACTGGAAGGGGAGGTAATATCATGAATTAGGAAAAATAGACTTAAGTAACAAATTTAGTGAGCTCTCCTATGTAAAGGAACATTTATTTCAGGGTTGTTGATCTTGAACAGGTAAAGGGTAGGTGATTTTTAAAGGGTAGATGATTTTTAAAGAAAAAATTCTGGACGCAAGATTAGTTGCACGACTTTTAGATGTAAGTAGAAGCTAGATTTTTAGACATTCAAAGTGTTGAGAGCATAAGTTTGGAATATTGGAATTGAGAAAATCTGGAAAAGCAGTCAAATTAGATTTAGTTATGGATTTGTATTATAGATATGATAATGTGTTTTGAAGGAAACTGTTACAGGAATGATAAGAGCAGAAAAAGGAAATGGGGGAAAATTGTATACTTGCAGGTACTGTAAATTGCATTATTCAAGTCAATTCAGTGATATAGATCATTTACTATGGATCAAGCATGTTAGGAAGCCATGTAGGAGCAAATAAAGATAAAGCCACAATAACCAAAATTCATATTTTGGCAATAAATTTCTAAGGTTGTTCAAAATCATGAATACATTTTATTATTTAGGCATACTAAATTTTTTTTTTTTTTTGAATGGGATTTAACATAGAGGGTAGATGTTAAGTGCTTCACGAAATCACTTTGTTAGGTATTATAGGATACAAAGGTTGTCTTTGGCCTTTAGGAATCGAATGTAGTGAGGAATGTAAGATATTTGCACAAAAATTTACGGCATAAAGAAATACATGTAAAAATTTAACCACATGGTTGGATTGACCTAAAATTTAGAGTTGTTTAAAAGTGTTCATTTTTTGGCTTAAGTAATCATGGAAAGTAGTGGAGGTATAGTAATACTTACAAAGATAGTTCAGTGGTGTTTTTTATTGAAAATTTACTTGAATACCAGGCTGTATGCTAGTTGCTTCATGTACATTTTCTAAGCTTTTCAACAACATACAATCATATTTCTTTTTTTTATTTTTTTTTGAGAATTTTAATATTTATTTTTTAGTTTTCGGCAGACACAACATCTTTGTTTGTATGTGGTGTTGAGGATCGAACCCGGGCCGCAAGCATTCCAGGCGAGCGTGCTACCACTTGAGCCACATCCCCAGCCCACAATCATCTTTCTTAATGGGGACTCTAATATGTTAGATAATTTGCCCTGGCTCTGTGGCTAGCAAGTTTGCATTCAGATATGTCTGATGTCAAAGCCTGTGTGTTTCCACTATTCCCAATAAACTGTTATCTCCCAGTAAACTGGTACCTCAATTCAATATTTCACAGGGTAAAAGTTTTCTAAAACAAAGATTCAGGGTTTTGGATAAGGTGGATGAAGGCCTTTCAAATTAAGAGAATAATATTAGTGGAAGGTTGGAGGTAGTAAAGTTAATTGTGTACTCAGAGAAGTTAGTTGACCAGGTTACCTAGAATATAGCATTCACATTTGGGAACTGGTGTTAAGGTTGTCAAATTTAAATTGGGTTGAATTGTTGAGCATGTTTAAAATGCTGTATTTAGAAGTTTGACATTTGGAAGGTAATGAAGAGTGACTAAGATTTAATAGTGTGTAGAATGATTTGCTGTGGCAAGCTAGCTTTCTCTCTCTCTCTCTCTCTCAGGTTTTTTTTTTTTTTTTTTTAAATAGTGGGGATTGAACCTGGAGGCACTTTACCACTGAGCTACATCCCCAGCCTTTTTGTTTCTTTGTTTTGAGACAGGTCTCATGAAATTGCTCTGGGCTTCCCTAACTTGCTGAGGCCAGCCTCAAACTTGTGATCTTCCTGCCTCAGCCTCCTGAGTTTCAATATAGTACTGTAAATACTGGGTAAAGGTAATAGTAATGGATGAAAATGAAGGCTTGACTGGACCTGGCAATTGATTTAGTAGTTGGGTAGAGGGAGGGATTGGTAGGAAAGGTTTGGAGAAGATAGAAGCTGGGAAAGTTACATTTTTTAAATGTGGGATATGTTGATGGTGATACTGTTACTAGAAATATGGGCAAGGAGTTGTGTAATGAGATCAGTTTTGGATTTTTTTTTTTAAATATGTTTTTGGTTGTAGATGGACAAAATACCTTTATTATATTTTTATGTGGTACACAGGATCGAACCCAGTACCTTCCACATGCAAGGCAAGTACTTTACCACTGAGCTACAACCCCAGCCCTGTTTGTTTTTTTATGTACTTGACAAACACTGGAAATGCCCAGAGGCTTTTGGAAATGTGAGTTTGCAGTTCAGGAGAGAGGTCAGGGTTAGGCATATATTAAACATGGTGTAGAGAATAATGCAAATAAAAATACTTGTAGAGTCCACTTAAGGAGATGAACATGCCAAGGGAAAGTGCTGAGGGGAAAGAAAAAAACACAAACTAAAACAAACCCTGTATTTTAGATAGCATCTGTTTAAAACAAGGAAAAGACACTAAGTAATCTATTTTATGCAATGGATAAAAAATTTGATAGTATGTATACAACTTCTTCACATTGCAGATTCAGATGGAGTAGAAGGAATCTGATCATTAAAAATCCAGTTGGGAAATAAATTTTTTTGCCCTTGCTAGTAAGAATACTATCCTATCATTATCCTACTTCAAGGAGGACAAGTCAGTTTTTGGTTACTTAAAAGCTATGTTTGGTTATTTCTTTTGAACATTTGCTTGGCAAGTGATATGTGAGGATTTAAAAGTAAATCTCTGATATTGTATTCCATTTATTTGTTTGCATGATTTTGATTTTGGTTTGGATATCAAGAATCTCTGAATATTCACAGATAATATTTGTGCCTTTTATTATAGCCAGTTGTTAATATTGCCTTTTATAGAAAATGGTATTTAATTACATATTTTTCTTCCAACTCTCTTTTGTAAGTATTTTTGATTAAAGTAAGTAGTTTTATCTCTAATGTTCTGATTACTCTAGTGGGATAGAATAAGGTACTTTCTGGGTGTGGGATCAAACCCAGGGCCTCATGCATGCTAGGCAAGCATTTTATCACTGAGCTACATCTCCACCCAGCTTAAGATACTTTTATCTATCATGTAATGATACATATGTGAAAATTATGTTTTATGTTTAAGAACTATCAATTTATAGAATTTTATGTTTTCTGTTTAGATATTTAAATAAGGGGAATTTGTGTATTAAAATGTAAAAGACTGTAATAGTTTGCAAAATGAGGCTTAGAGAGATAACTTTTTAAATACAGTTTATTATTTTTAGACTAAGTTACCATGGAATTGCTTGTTTCTTGAGAATTAATACAAATTCCTTTTGTTTTTCAGGAATATGTTTTTCACTGTACGCCAGCACTTGAGACTGTCCAAAGTGTTCTGCGTCAGTGTTGTTGGAGGCAGGGGGTTTTGTGTGTGCTTTGCCTTGATGGTTGGCTTAGTTTCAGTGAGCCTGGTATTAACGAAGCGAAGGTCAAGAGTTCCATTTAGCTTCTGTCTGAATGATGGCCAGGGAGTAAGTACACCTCTCACTCCCACCAGCTGTCTTGCAAATTCCTTGGTTGCCATTGTTGCAAAGGTGACTGCATGTGGGTAGATCTTTTACTATTGGAAGAATATTAGAGGAAACTTAGCCAAATGGTTAAGAACTCTGACTGCA